TATGTAAAAACCATCGTACCTTTGGGTTTTAATCGTTCAGCCCCGGAAAAGCAAACATCAAATAAATAAATATTGTCCCCAAATTATTTTCATAATAATAAGTAAACATCTGAATGGACATGCAAACTGGTTAGCAAGGTGTGTGAATTTGAATGGTAAATTAGCTTCTTGAAAAAGGTTTATTATCCATTCCCATGTTTTAGCTGACAGCTCTTTTACTTGAGCATTGTTCATGTTTATTAGCTTAGTTTATTACACAGACAGCTTTAAATTACATCTACACATCTTAAATTAAATTTTAGTGGGCAATCCACATGTCAGCGATGTGAACACCTTGAATACGAAGACAAGCAAAGGTTTGAGTTTAAATACTTTTTTTATTGAACCAAAATCCACAGAATTAATATAAACAACTGTTTGTGTGGTTGAAATAACTTTTTAAAATGTCTTTACAGATTAACTGAGAAAATATCAAGATTAGAAAATGAACTAAAAGAAGCAAAGTAAGTAGTTATTAAGAGTATAAAAGGTGTAAAAAGTAGGGGTTCTAATAACATCTAATATAAATAAAACAAATGGTAAATGGCATGTACTTATATAGCGCCTTTATTCAAGTTAGGAGACTTGACCAAAGCGCTTTACACTACATTCATTCACCCATTCACACACACACTCACACACTGAGGCAGAGTCTTTTTGTAGCATCAGAACAGTTGTTTGCTAAAAATCCTTAAAAATGTTTACATTTTTATTTGGATACCAGTTAACTACATATAAAAATTTGACAGGAGGATAGGGCAGCGTTATTACAAGAGGACCAAAAAGGTCAAACACTAAACCTAACCTGCTCTGAAGATCAATTCCAAGCAACAGTATCACATTTTCACAAACTATTTTTTTATCAGAGTTAAAAAAAGCTTAAAGGTAAAGTTTTTATCATATCAGAGTTTACTATTAGTTGAAGGGCCTGCTCATTGTTTAGGAAAAGAAAAAAAATCAGATTTTCAGCTGCTCTTATCCATACATCTTCAACAATGATGGACCTTGATCTTTGTAGAAAATGTTAACTGCTGGAGCTCTAAAAAGGTTTTCTTTAGTAATGGCATGGTGGATGAAGACTCTAGGTGTAATCACATTTATCCATTTGATAGCTGATTTACTGTTAGCACTGAGAAGATATAACAGTTACAAACGCAAGAGGCAAAACGTACTTATGTTTTGTCAACAGACAGGATTCGACAATAACATAATGTAGATAAGGGCACACTTACCTTTCAGTTGAAAGACAAATAATGAAGCAAACATATAACTAAAGAAAATGAATAGGGAGAGAGAAATTATGACAAACTTATTCAGCAGCAGTCTGCATCTTTCTAATGAACGGACATTAAGTGTTGCAGTGGAGCATATAAAAAATATATATTTAGATTTTAATTTGTGTTCATTGAGGGAAAGTATTTAGGATAATTACTTGTATTTACTGCCTATCACTGTCTGAAATATTGCATTTTTACACAGATCAGATCGGGACCAAAAAGTGAAGGAGTTGAACACGCTGAGATCGAGGTATTTAAATAAATTATTATGTTCATTCAGATTCAGTAAAACCATTCGATAGTGAAATGACACCTTTCACCTGTAGACAAACATGCTCAATGTCAAAAGTGAGAAAATATTTCAAAGTTTGTTGCTGGAGCCTATAGGTGTTTAAAACCAGATCTGTTCACAGGGGTGTAGTCAAATGTCAGTTAAGCTATTTTTACTCTCCAGGTCATATGATTTGATTTTTTAATAAATACTCTGGTTTTCCAAGTCATTGGCAGACTCCCTTAGAGATATGGTGAGAAGCTCCCCCAGAGATCGGGAGAGGGCCAAGGCACAGCTGCTTCTCCACATTGAGTAGAGTCACCTAAGGTGGTTGGACATCTTGTTCAGATGTCCCCTGGACTCCTCCCTGTGTAGGTGTTCCAGACATGTACTACTGGGTGAACGCCCACTGGACAACCAAAGATTCACTGGAGGGAGGGAGCACCTTTGGCTCCTCCCAGCAAAGCTGGAGGAGGTGTCTGGGACAAGGAAAATCAGGGAATCTCTGCTTAGACTGCTGCCTACTGCCACGGTCCCAGATAAAGCAGAATATGATGTGTATGAGTAATAAGGACTCAATAAGTGATGCTAACCATGACTTTTATTAAAAATAACTGACATACATGAAAACATCCTTTAAAACCAATTCAGAGAAGACTTTATTTTTATGACTAAATTAAGATATGATTTAAATCTATTAGGACCACTGAGAAGACCAACAAACGTGTTAGAGTACCAACTGTTATTTTTCACAAACCACGCCTCTCAGAATTTGGCAATTTTCTTTTAAACATAGTAGAACTTTCATACATATATTGTTCTAACCTTGTAAAATGTCTTCAAACCATTGAGAATTTTATTATGAACTTCTGACAGTGTGGGTTCCTGTCACTGACTGATAATGTGTCCTGGCTACTTGGCCAAGGGGATATTTCTTTGGATGGCCAGTCAACGCATGACTTTCATCCAGGAGTCTGGGATCCAGTCCCACTCTGGCCATCTGTTGTAGTGTACCTTGCCACAAGTTAAAACCTAGGTTTCAAGAGTCTAGTGTTTTGGTAATTTCTGGGTGTGGCTGAAATGGTGGCTCTATGATTTCAATCTGCTGAATTCTATGTATTGAACTCATACATAGATCTTATTTTCTTTCCCCTGTACTATGGCAAGCCATTGCATGGTTGCTGTGCAGTCCAGATTACACGTCCCCAGGTTTTCAGAACAGAGAAATCTTTTTTATTTTTCATAACTTTTATGATCCCCTTTTACATGCTAAGCAGGTTTTTTGAATCATTCAAATTAGATTGGGCGATTAAAACACATATTTTTAGGATTTAACAACAATCCCTTATTTTCCTAGAAATAACCAACACAAGCAGACAAGTTATTTTTCTGCAGAGAGGGGAGAAGACCTTTGACAGAGAATTTTGACTCCCTGAATGTCTATAGTCAACTCTGCTGGGACCTGTCTGTCCCCTGCCTTTATTGTCAGACTTCAAAGGAGTAACAGGAGGGGTCAGAACTTTACACATACAAAAAGGGTTGCATGTTTATTGCTGGTGGTTATCAATCACCTGTAACATCATAACTGGATAAGACCAGGCCCTTCCTGGAAGAAGCATTTGCTTTCCTTGTTTGAACTTAAAACAACGCAGCATTCCTAGCAGGGCAAATGCCTGTAACTTAGTTCAAATAAAATGATGAGATCTACATTTTCTAACACATATGGTTTCATGGTTTGAGAAAATAATAACATATATTTATTTCTACTTTACATTGACTTTAAGTAATGAAAACATTGTCTAAGGCAGTGGTTCCCAAAGTGTGGGGCGCGCCCCCTAGGGGGGGC